GAAAAGAGGGGAGGGAGGAGAGGTAGGTTGGAAAGAAGGAAGAGAATGGGATGGATGGATGGATGGATGGAAGGAAGGAAGGAAGGAAGGGAGGGAGGAATATGGGGAGGGAAGATGATAGGAAGGAGGGAAGGAAAGAAGAAGGGGGGAATGGGAGATAAGAAGGGAGGGAGGGAGGAGGGGGAACGGGAGGGAGGGAGGGAAGATGATAGGAAGGAAGGAAGGAGGGAGGGAAGGAAGAGAATGGGAGGGAGGGAGGGAAAGGTGGAGGGAACATGATAGGAAGGAAAGGAAAGGAAAGGAAAGGAAAGGAAAGGAAAGAGGGAGGGAGGGAGGGAGGGAGGAAGGAAGGAAGGAAGGAAAGGAAAGGAAAGGAAAGGAAAGGAAAGGAAAGGAAAGGAAAGGAAAGGAAAGGAAAGGAAAGGAGGAGGGAGGGAAGATGAGAAGGAAGGAAAGGAAGGAAAGCAAAAAAAGGGAGTGGAGATCAGAAGAGAGGAATGTAAAAAGGAAAGGAAGAGAAGTGTTAAAGGGTTAAACATTTAATCTTCACTTGGGCTTGCTAATCACAGCAAACTGTAAAACAAGATTTAAAAAGAACAGTGGTTGAGCTCATGTTACGCTCAAGCCACCCTAAACCTCCAGAGGCTCCTAACAAAATATTTTCTCACACCGAGGTCCGGATCCCGGTGTGACAAAGGCCCCCTGGGGTGGAGGGGACAGGGCGAGGTTCCTCACCTTCACGTAGTACGTGATGAGGATCTTCCGCAGGTCGAACACCTGGAGCATGGAGGCCGCGTTGTTGTCGCTGATGCTGTAACCCTCCAGGACGTACTTGGTGGCGGCCACTTCCCAAGCCAGCCAGCGCTGCCCGAAGGCCGCGTTGAAGCTCAGCATGCGGGGAAGGTGGCCCGGCTCACAGCAGCAACAGGCTTCGTCCTCTTCCACGCCTTCCGTGATGGCCTCCACCTCCCGCTGCTGGCAGTACGTTCCTGGAAAAAAATGTTTTTTTTTTTTTTTTAAAAACTTAGTCAAAAAGTTTCTGGCTGAGATCTGAGATGGCACACAGGCGTCTTGCCGCCATCGACATAAGTAAGATCCAAAGTTGAACTCCACTGTCTCTAGTGCAACAGGAATGCAACGTCAATTCAACTGTATAGAATGTGAAGGATGTGGGTTGGTGTTTTATTTTCATAGTCATAATGTACACTGAAGGTGGCATTATATAAGACAGAAAAAGAAGGAGCCTTGGTGGCGCGGTGGTTAGAGTGCAGTACTGCAAGCTACTCCTACTGCAGTTTGGCAGATCGAATCCCACCAGGCTCAAGGTTGACTCGGCCTTCCGTCCTTCCGAGGTGGGTAAAATGAGGAGCCAGATTGTTGGGGGAGTAAAAGGCTGACTCTGTAAACCGCTTAGAGAGGGCTGTGAAGGCACTGTGAAGTGGTATATAAGTCTAAGTGCCATTGCTATTGTTTTCCCTCCTTCTTTCCTTTCTTCCCTCCTTCCCAGTGTTGTAAAAGCACTGTGAAGCGGTATAAGTGCTATTGCTATTTC